GCTTTCCTCTCCCTTTCTCAATAATTAGATGTTGACACTCAATCGATCACACTCATTCTCTCTCTCTCTCTTTTTTGTTCATATGTCTATTTGACAACGGAAATCAAACTCGCCTGATATCGAATACAGTTGACACGTGCTGGCCGAAGAATAAATCTAATTCGATTGATATATTTACAAGTAGTGAAAGGAAGACTGAGTACTCGGACACTGTCCTCAATCAACAACAATCCTAATTGAGTATGGCATAGATCTGTTTTAACATGCGTGTGTGCACAACAACTTCGAAATGAAATTAGTCAGTGAAGAGAAAGGAGCAGCTGGTTAGCATAGAGAAAAATCGAGAATTACAAAGCTCTTCTGTATTCCTACTCGTCGACTTGAATTCGAATTCTATGTGACAATTTTAATTAGAAACTAGAAAGTCGATTGCTTTTCTACTTACCTCGTCACCTTTACCATTGAAATGCATAAGATTATCGATGAGGCGTGGCATAGTACAGTTTAGATCTAAAATAATAATTAAAAGATCAAATTCTATTCTCATTAAAACTGATCGCAACGATCTTTTCATCATTGCCAAGCGATATAGATTGAAGAAGTAGAAGAAAAAAGACCAGCACAGCGATTGATTTCAAAGAGCAATGCGCGCATGCGTGATTATTAGAAATCAAATGTAAAGCTATACACGTCATTATAACGAGACGAAATGAAAGCTTTCTCTTCTCTTCTCTTCTACTTACGATTTCACTTACGAGTTGCTCTAACAGGTGTAAAATGAATTCTTCTTATCGAATTTTAACATTTTTCTAGACAAAAGACAAAACTATAGTACAGATCTCTTTTGTCTTCATCGTTTACTTAAATATCTCTCGATTATTCAATGATTACTGTCCATATCCAGAATATTACATCATTTACGTCTTTTTCATGCTTGCATCGAAAATATTATTGACGTTTGGAAGCCTTCGAACTGTTCGTTAATATGTAATAACGACGACAAATTCATGGATTCATTTTTCTTCCTCTATATGTACACATACGATGTCGAAAAAGATGAAACTGTTCAGTGAGTACACCAATAACAAGATTATTCATCATGTGTTTCTTTTTACCTCTCTTGACCCTCTTCAGTCAGTAGAAAATTCATACTGTTCAACTTACCGTAGTTCTCATTTAGATAAACAAAGCAAAATAAAGACGTTTGTTTCGAAAATGCACATTGCTGCTCAATGATTACTTTTTGATGAGAGAAAAGAAAGAACGCGGGTGAGACGTGCTGTTGCCATCTAGGAGTTCATCTCATCAATAGCTCATTTGTCACACAGACGATTCAATAATAACAATATTTCTTTACGAACAAAAGATGTCTGTTAGTATACATAGTCAGAAAATTTACATTGTATTCTATCAAGAGAATACTTATTTGAATAAAAACATTCGAAATCGAACGACGAGAAAAACGAAACGAAATGCAATCCTAACACCTGTATTTAGTTAAGCTTAAGTTTACGAATAGTAATGATGAGATGAACTGAATTAGTTGAGATTAAACAATCAAATAAAGATATATGAACTTACTTGGATGACTTATGCCAAAAGAAAAAGATGAATGAATGAATAAGCTTTTCTTTTCTCTTTCTCTCTCTCTCTCTCTCTCTCTCTTCTGCTTTGTGCAACTAAACAGTGACGTGAAACTAACCTCGCACTCTAGTATTTCTCTCGTTAACGATTGGCGCATGATGGAATAGCGAAGAAAGGGGAAAAAGCACGAGAGAGGAAAGTTAGTTGTCTAGAAGTTTTTCCTCTTATGTTCAACAACAACATCAAGATAATAGGAAAAAAAAGAAGCATGGCATACTCGAAGAAATAACATTGATGTGACACAAATGATTCATCCAATGTTTTTTCTTCTCTTTGAACTTTGAACTTTGAAGTAAAGTATTGATAAAAGAATGGATTAATCTATTAGAAAGAATAATACTTTCTTTCTTGAAGTAAAACGATAAAACGGTTGAAATTAACTGCTACTCTCTGGATCGTTTGTCATACCCCCACGGACATTGACTCAACTCTCTCTCTCGATTAGTCAGTCGTCCATATTGTCATCTATCCTCGCGGGGATTCAAATTGTTAGAAGGGAAGAAATGGAGAGCGAGAGAGAACGTATGACATCTACTCAACAAAACATTCTTCATCTTTCTTTCTCTCTCCTTCTTTTTCTCTTCCATTTCCCACACAAACACACTCGACTTAAGCGGAAATTGAACTCCTACTCATATATAAATGATGAATCAGCAATCAACTATGGATAGATGAATCAATGAAAGTTAGAATTGAAAATGAGGAACGGCCATTAAACTGTCTCACTTAGAATTTCACCTAAAAAGAAATAATAATATGCATATGTCTACATGCTCAAAAAACTATTAGCCTACATGCTTCAACTCACCTTAACAGCATTGATGAAATATCGCAGCGTTATACAGTGTCGACAAGAATAACAAATTCGAAGAGTAGAGAGCAATTAACATGCAAGTGTGATGCCGATCGTAAAAGAGAATAGATGAATGAGAGACAGTCGACCTCTTCTACTTGTTCGTTGTCCAAACTTATCATCTATCGTTTTTCGTTTCTGTCTTTATATAAAAAGAATGCATACTTATACAAACACACACACACACATCTATATACAAGAGCGAAGATAAGAATGAGAAGACAATCAAAATAATCTTTATCGTAGTTTAAAAAAATTCGGTGCAGAGAAAAGTGTGACATAACTAAATATCGTTGTCATTAAGCTAAATAAAACAAGACATAGACGATCGATAACCATGGCTGAAAATTTCCAATCTTCAGATATGTTGTCCTCTTCTTCTCCTTGTTTGACGTGTTCAGTGAGAAATTGAAGTTCAGTTATAATCGTTCGCATTTCGGCGCGAAATACGCGCATATCACGAGGAAGGAGAACATCGTTTGGATCATGATGATGATTCGGATTTTTACATTTGCTGCTGTGTTGACGTGAAACAACATGGTTCATAACTGTTGTTGGCAACGTACTACAAGCGTTTGAATATGACGTATCATTGAGACATGTTACATTTGCTAACAAAGACTTCGATGACTCGGCTAATAGAGGTGTTGGGAGACATTTATAAGCATTCGATGTACTATCCTCTCGGTCAAGAGTACGAGCATGTCGACGGCGGATAGCACGCCACGTTAAATCATGCCCAGGACGATTCATCCATAATAACCATGCAAGGTATTCGTTGATATAGACGGAAATCTAACGAAATACAGAATTTTTTTTTCTTCAAACGGAAGATTCTAATTGAAAGAAATGTTTTACCCATCTTGGCATTGTATGATTTTTTGCGTTGCGGTGATGAAATCCAAGAACCAAAACAGTCGCAACAACTGACATTGAACACATACACAAAACAGTAACAAAATACATGACAATGATAGGCAATGCCGTTGAGCTTGCCGGTATAAAGCCTGAGATCAACAAGCTGAACATAACAATTGAAAGTAGAATTGTTATCTCTACAAACAGAATATTCATTCGTTTTTTAAGAAAATCGTTTTTCTTACGTAATGTTAACTTTTCACCACTGTCAGGTGGAAGCAGAAAGCCGAGAACCGTCATAAAACTAATTAAAACGCACGGTACTAGAAGAAGAAAATAATACAGTAGATCTGATTAGTTACGTCTAGTGAGTCTAAAAATTATCGATTGATCCGATAATAAAGGATAACTCAAGCATTGCTGTGTACATATTATTCTTTCGTCAATAGGACTTATTCCGGCAGACAAATATCGTCTGGCGGCCTCAAAAACGATCATACAGGAAAATATGTCAATCAATGTTTTACCGACAATATTGACCACATAATAAAGCGTACGCCGACGTATACGGATCGTAAATAAGGCAAATGGATAGACAGTTGGACAACATTCATAAACAACTGCTTCTCTGACAGCTAAAAAGCCTGAAAAACAAGAAAACATCAGTTGACTTTGCTTCAAAATATGAGTTTCCATACTCAATAGATCCCATTCAGCATTTTTTACATAAGCATCCAATTGACCTTGATCGCTATCGATGGTTAGATTTACGCCTGTTTCATCAATGAAGATTTATCCTATTTTTCCTTAGAAATTTTTCCTACTTACCACTATCATCGTAAGACCATGGGCCGAATTTTAATGTGCAATTTTGTTCGTCCGAAAAAGTAGAAAAATAAATAAATCTTTCAACGAAACGATCATTTTCTCTGATAGAAACTTACAAACGGAAAGGAAGCAATATTAAACGGACAGATAGATTTTAAGATCCCAGGCGGAACGAACAGTATAGTACCATTATGTTGCACAACTAAATTTGTTTTCATTGTTCCTTCAAAATTATCATCAGCACTAGAAAGAAATCAATCGAACTATTAAATCTCCTTCTTCGTAATTTCTCTCACCTATTATAAAGATAGATATCTGGCGTCCATACATTTGAACTATGTACTCGAATCGATTGAATTCCTCCATAATCTTCGGGTTTCCATTGTAGACTATAATCATGCCATGTCTATACTTATCTTCGGTAAATTTCTGTTGAAATTCAAATCAAACTACATACAAGGACTAGCCAGCCACTGATGACGATAATTTCGCTTTTCTCCTCCTAATTTCATCAATTGGAATCAAGTACGATCGAAATGAAACAATAATCAACTTACGAAGTCGATGATCTGTTGCAATGCTAAATTCATCGTAACAGTCAAAGTCGCTGTATCATTGAAAACCGGTCTTTCCATAGGATCATAACTGTTTTCTTTAAATAGATATTGTAACAAACGTCGTTGATGTGCGCCACCAACTATAATTAGAAAACTGATCTGTTGGAAGTAAATCTCGTGCGAACTGACTTGTTAATTCGAACAAATAAAACAGGAGGAGAAGAAAATATTTTGTTTGATTCGAGAAGAACATCGTGTGTATTTCTTCACAAGTCGATATTTCTTTCAATTATTACTCCGATTATGACGTTGTTTATATACAAACGACAAACGGAGTGCAGCAGCTGTAATGTTCTTCCAAGTAGAAAGAAAGACACAGAACAGAATGAGAATATGTGATTTCACTTTTTTGTGGTTCGATTCCTGGTTGACAATGACATTTAGAAGACATGTATTGCAACGATGGCAATGTGTTAATTGAAAAATCATTTAGCCAAAGCCAATCTAGAAGTAACTTAATGTTGTTCTTTGGTCTACAGAAGGAAAAAAATAGCATCATTGACAGCTTGAAATACAACAAAATACTAGGTCTGATGTTCTGCTTATTAGTATAAGATAATCGACCATTTGTGACGTTGTCAACTGTGAATGCCATTTGAAATGAGATAGAAAAAAACAAGGTTAATCAACAAAAGAAATTTGTCAGTACGAACCATTGTAAATCTGTAATGATCATAATCAGACTATACACATTTCAATCTGATGAGATATGTTAAGAAAATAAATCAATCAGATGGATTCATAGAGATAGATAAGAATCAAACATTGCCACAGAACATTCGTGTGTGTAGACACAACGAGACAATTGATCGAACATGCAGATTTATCCAGTTAGAAGGAAAACGATAAAAGCATATACGAGACAGTCTGGATGTTTCAGTTCTTCTTTTCTCGACGGCCACAGAGTTTTTCGGTTCAAGCAAAGAAGAAACACAACGACGAAGTAGTTTTATTGCTTAATAACAAAACAAAATCAACTAATTAGTAACGCAAAGAAAAATACACGACAATCTTTCTTGTGCAATGTTCTTATGAAAGTAGACAAAACTACAACAGAATAAATCCAATCAAAATCTCTTCGTTTTGCAAAGAATACACCTACGAATAGAATGAACAAGTCGTGCAGACAGAAACGATGTTTTCTTTGCTTTTCACATTTTAATTGATCGTCGGAAAAATCAATTCTTTTCTTGGAACTAAAAGAATAAAACGATACTTGTTTTTCGATGCATGTGGACAATAATGAGTTGTCAACAAAGTCAAAATGTTATCGACAAGATATTTCATATAATGTAAATATTTATCCCCTGTTGTTTTTTCGATATACTTATATGATCTTTGACTAGTTGTAGCAAAGCGAACTTCTATTGAGTCATTGGTTCGGCTCGTACGACGAAGAATCACATTAACATCGAAAGTCAATTTACATCTTAGAAACAAATTTATGAGATATTCATATTTCTAATTTTATCAACACTCGAAATCATGCCTCATCTTGCTCTACTCTATAATCAGCTTAACTAGAATGTATACAATTATGTATAGAATCGGATCAGACCGTGTCCTGTCATCGATATGTCTGGAAATTACATCGACACTCAGCCTTTCATTACTAAACTTCCATTAGAGGAGAAAAGTAGGGACACATCAAAATCGATGTGTTTTTAAGGAGTATTATTCATCACTTGTTGCGACATTGATGTTTGCGCCGAAATCACTTGATTGGATCGTGAATTATACTGTTGATAGAACATCTGTGGCGTGATTATCTGACGTGGGAGATAGGATGTTGGAGGTGGTGGTGCTTGAGGCCAATCATCTAAAAAATCTCAATGGGAATTGAACAATAACAACAGAGAGTGATTACTTTGCTCGGTTTTATTCGTTCGTTGTTCTCGATAGGGTCGCACTTGCGATGGTACGATTGGCTGTTGGGCAGTACTCGAGAAGTTATTACGCATGTTTGAATATCGTTTAGGACGTTCGGTAGTTGAAACATCTGGAGAAAGATTTAACGATGTTCTTGCTAAATAGAAAAACATGGCTTGAATGAAGTGTTGTGTAATTAATGATTTTACGTTGATAAGATGGTTTCTGTAGGCGTGGTGGTAGATTTGGTTTATTGTCGAATAGTTCAAACTGTTTTCGTGAATGGTGAGGTGAATTAGCATTGAATACTTTTTGATTGTTTCGATTAAAACTATCTTTGAATTTGGAGACATTGTCTTGTTGATTCATGTTAGTATCGGGAAGACTCCTACGCCGACGAAATATTCGTTGATCATTTTGAGATGGACCATGATTGTGTCGTTGTTGGCCTGGGGTCAATGGTGTTTCTTTTTTGAGATTTTGACGATTATCCGATGGCAATGATTGATGATAATCTTTTAGATTAAATTGACTTGTTCGATTATTCACCGGGTTTTGCGTATTTCTTTGTGGAACTCGTTGACGATAATCATTTTGATAACGTTGTTGTCCTTGCTGCTGTTGCTGAAAATTCTCATGATTTTTGTACATAAAATCGTTCGTGTGAAACCGATTATTCGACTGACAATCATGTCTAGTACGTTCATGGTCGTGTTTTTGTACAGAAGAACGAAATGTGGATTTTTGTTCGTCACGAAAATAAAGATCATGTTGCCATTTACCATCACCATCCGTGTAAAACCGATGATCATTGCGTGACGTCTCTCTTTGAAAGATATTGAAAAGTGAGAAAATGTTTTTAATAAGAATACCTTACTTTTTTGAACGACCGGTGTCGTTTAAGGTTCTGTCATCGTGTTCATAGAATCTTCCTTTACGAGGAATGTAAGCCGGACTTTGAGTATTATTGTCATCATCAACACTTTTCTTCTTCTTCGTTTCATCTGATTTTAGATTTGGAACACTTTGATTATCATTTTCATCTTCAGAATGTTCGTCATCGAGATGTTTTTCATGACTACGTCGAGGTTTTATATTTATATCCAATTCGTTATTATCCGTAGTCTTCTAAAGTGACTATGAAATAAAACTTGATTTCATATCTGTAAGCATTACTTTCATAAGAGCTTTCTTCATAACAGTATTCAGTAATGATTCGTCGTCATCATCGTCCAGATCCTCATATTCCGAATCATCTTCTTGGTGGCCAGAGATTGAGATTATCTTTGATTCATCTGATGGCGAAAATTTAAACGAAAAATTTTGATTATCAGAGTAATTAATATTACCATTTTGTGATGTGATTTCTTCTTCCTCCGGATTTGTTAAATTTTCACATATCTGACTTGGATCTGACATTTTCTAGTGCAAAAAACGATGTGACTATAATGAAGTGGTGATACTGAACTTGGTCAAAGATTTCTAACGAACCAATCAACGATGAAATCTTCCAATTAACAAAAATCTCTTCTACTTTTTCGATGTATTTTTTTCGGTGTAATCTTTCTGAGTGTTAACAATTAATACATCTCTTAATCGATTCATGTTTTCAGAGTATATAAAAGAAGGTCGTTTCTAAGCAACACACATGTATATGGTAAAGTCGGCACTTGAGCGTTTATCTCTAATATTGCAAAGAAAACTTGTTTTGTCTCGCCATGGTTGCTCGAACATCTCGTGAGGTTCTTCGCTGGTACGAGGGTCTCTATTTGACTTATCCTATTATTGTTCCGAAATGGTATGTCAAATCTGTTAGTGTTCTTTTCAAGCACTTGAAATTTTTTATAACGAAAAACAAACATGTCACTTTACATTTACACAGCTACTTGATCGAATGCTCGAAGGATATGTTTTATTTTAAGGGATTTGGCAAACGGATTCGCTTATGCCGAAATCTTACATGTTTATTTTCCAAATGAAATCAATATGCTGAATTTTCTCAATGGGCGGTCACTGAATTCGCGGTTATTAAACTGGGCTATGATTAAAAAGTTTCTAAAAAAGAAGAATCTTCCAATTAATAATGAATTTATTGATGCAACATTACACGGTAAAGACGGCGGGGCAGAAGGATTGCTGGAACAAACTTACGAGTTGTTAACAAATAGAAAGTAAAGGATGGAAAGAAGCATCTTTCGAGATTTGATGTTCTTCTATTTTTAGACCATTTGTTGACGTAACATATGAACATGACGATCAGTTTACTGATCATATTTATGAACAAACACTCGATTATTTTCAACGGTCACATACATCGAAATCAATAAAAAATAATTTGAAAATTTCCGAACTAATTATGGATCCATCCTATGCTCACCATGCGAAACGAGTTCGTACGAATTCCTTTTTTTACATGACAAGTCTGTTGATTTTCTTTCGCATAGAATGAATATATTCGTGATCAATTAAAGATCGAGCGTCAAAAGATACGTGTTGATAATCCACAACGGTTTGACATCAGACCTACATTAGCTGAGCGTTGTTTACGTAAACCTCTCCAATCAGAAATCAACCCTCAAGATTGGTACACGAAATCCTTTGTTTCACGTTCACGTTCAGCGACTTCTGTATCGAATAAAACAGTTTCTGGTAAACAAGGATCGCGACAAGCGTCGGCTGATCGTTCCAAACAAACTTCCGTTTATCGAGGTAAGTAAACAAATTAACATTGAATGTCTTTCTTTGTCTTTTCTCTTTTTAGAAAAAGGAACCATAGAAACGAATGAAAACGATGCAATTTACAAAGAAATCATTTTGAAACAACACTCCGTGCCACTGGAAGATCTTGCGCGTATAAACGAATTCGAATAACTTTCGCTTTTTTATTTTATCATCATTTATTAATAAATTCTTTACTGGACATAAAAAGTGAACGAATAGAACTGTTTATCAATCAACAAAAAATCGAAGTATGTTGAAATGTTAGTTTCATCAAGAATGAAATGTGCGTAAAAACCAGAGAATCACGCTGAGCGCACTGTTTATTTTAGAGGTGGTTTGTATTATGTAATATTGAATTACAATTGAACTGTCGCTAAGATAGATCTGATTTTCTTTTACTTATTAAATCCAGTTGAATGGCTAGTGGAAATGATCATTCTGAAATAAATGAGTCGACTGATTTTGCGAATATTTCTTAAGATGTCTCATAGTTTATAATACGCTTAGCGTGAGACCATAAGCATAAATACAGAGAGGCCTTTAAGTATTTTTAATTTTGCCACACAACATCAGCTATTTTTAAGTCAAGCGATTCTTCTTTTCAAACATAGCTTTCAATTAGGTTTATTTATTTTGAACTTGAAGTTTGCACGCTTGGCCACATCCAAAGGTGGATATACATGAGATCTATGAAAGAGATAAACTGAATATTCCCATACAGGCAATGAACAGTTTCATTCTGTCTTCAGTATTTATTAACACTCATTCCATCATTACCTTTCGATCCAGCTATTAGTGAGAGCAAAGAAGTTGAAGCAGAATTCACAGTGAAAACATTAGTCATCAAAATATATCGGACTCAATAGGATAGAATATCGACAGTCATATATATTTATACCCTATTCATTAATTCATAGGGTTGATCAATTTTTGGGAAGCTTCAAACTGTAACAATCTTATCAAAGCTCATATTGATTAGTGTATTAGGCGAAAGTCATTTTACGATATTTCTTGAGACCTTATCTGATGGTCAAGCGATATCGACTATTGAAATTACTCGTTAAAGACTAAATCTGTTGCAGTCAGTTTGGTCGTTATAATATAATAGTACAATGCTAAACATGTCGTTATATGTTGAATCTTTTTTACTTAATCGATAAAGACAGTGAAGATTTGCTTGACCACACACTTATTCCCACCATGTCTCCTTTTCTTCCGATTTATTTACTCAACGATGCAAGACTTTTTCAACATATGGATAATATTTATAGATTTTACAAATAAATGCGTACAACTTTTTAAATAAACAACAATTAGTTCTGCTTTTTGCAGATCAAAATAAATATTTGGCTACTTACTCGTTTTGTCCTTGTCGGATGAAAGGATGGCTACCCAGATATAAGCAAAGTCAGTCAATCGCATTCTGTAAGAGACTGTAGAAAAAGGTTTTGGAATTGAAATTAAATCAATGCGTGTGAACAGGTCATCCAATATCATACAAAAAATTTTTAAAACTAGCACCAGATTCGTGTTCCTAGAGCTCGAAAGCTCTTCGGTCAACCCTTATAAATTCTTTTTCGTTTTAAGTCAATGATTTCAAACAAGAGAATAAAAAAGAGCCCGATTTTTTTTTGCTTGCTTTTATTAGATCTTTGAGGTAGCTCTATGTACAGTCGATGTGTGTGTGTATTAAGAAAATGAAACGAATTGCTAAGATGTAGTAGAGAACGTAGAGCCGTTTTCTGATTGGCTCAAACTATAGGAAACATGAACCGAAACCGAAGAAGGAAGAAAAGTCGCATAGCTATGAGTCATTTCAAGATTTTTGAGTGCATATATATATGAATTACAAGTTACTGTGTTGTGGATCAAAAAAGCACTGTAAAAAAGCTTCTGAGAACTTCAATATACCAAACGCATCTATCATGCAACATTTAGTATTACTCGGTGATAGTATATTTGACAATGCTGTCTATGTTCGTGGAAAACCTTCCGTTATCGATCAATTACAATCCAAAATAAAAGATTAAGGTTGGAAAGCAACACTACTTGCTGTTGATGGGAATGTTCTTTCTCATATTACCCAACAAATAACACGAATTCCAAAAGATGCTACGCATTTATTTGTATCGATCGGTAAGGATTCATTTGAATCTTATCTTATGAACAAAGCAATTTCTTCTCTAGGTGGAAATAACGCACTTTCTTATATGCACCATCTAAACGAACGTGTAACAACCGTTGGCCAAGCTTTATTAGTTCTAAATAAAATTAAAAAGCAATTTGAAAAAGTAAATCACATTGACAATTTGCTTTGAATAATTATTCTATTTTTTAGGACTACAGGCATATGTTGGGCGAATTGAAAGCATTGAAAGTTCCTGTAACAACATGTACAATCTACAATCCACGTTTTCCTGAATCCGAAGAACAAATTAGTTGTGAAACAGGTTTATCTGCTCTAAATGATGTGATTGTAACTGAATCATCGAAAGTATAGAGAAATCCAAAGAATTTATCTACCGAAAACAAATCACTTTCCTCTTTTTGCAGCTTGGTATTCCTGTGATCGATTTGAAAAGCCTTTTCAATGATCGAAACGATTATGCTAATGCTATCGAGCCTGACGTACAAGGTGGAGCAAAAATTGTCGAAAATATTGTCTACGTTGTCAACCATCATCGATTCGACGAGAACATTTGTTCAATATACGCTAAAACCATATCTTAAATAATCAAATACGCAAGAATATATTCTATGCATTTTTTTTGTTACATTTATTTATTCCGGCTGTCAAATGAAAACCCGAACGTCTTTTTTTTTCTAATTAAATGGTTAAAAAAAGCTTTCTAAATGTCTTTATCGCTTTTGAATATTCAATGTGCAACCGATTTAAGACCACCGTCTTGGCCAACTTCGAACTGCCAGTTTTGTTTTGGTGATGTCACACCTTCGAATGGAGCTGATAGTTCTTTGCTTGAGCCATCTTGTCCTTTGACAGTTAATTTTTGGATGAATTTGCGTTGTTCATGTTCATCAGTTTTAACCGTTTTTTCTTCGAGCGATTCTGAACCACCTTTTGGTACAGTAACAGTCACTTTTTCAGTATGACTACTGTCCGAACCAACATATTCAACTTCAACAGTAACATCATGGTCACTGGAGTTTTTCAATGTTGCAGAGTAAACATGACTTGGAGCTTTGAGTCCGCAAAATTGAGCCATAGTTAAATTCTAGAAAACAAGAAATGAAAATTAAAATAGAACGGGGAATATGTAAACCGACCTGTAGTTGAAGTGAAAAGAAAAGTAAATGAAAGGAAGAGCAATGCTATAGGAATGTGTGTTTATATAGAAGGTATGATAAGAACAAAGTTTCTAGTCACAAGATAAAGAATGCAAATAGACACCTACAGTTGAATACTCATTAGATGATTCACACATCTGACCAATCGGTATGAGAAAAATAAATAATATTTATTAGAAAGTAAGATAATAGAAAACAAGTTTATTCAGATCAAAAAAATATTTTTATCCGAATTTTGTAAGGAACGATATGTCATTCGTCATGGGTTTATAGTCATCGGTGAATCATTCCTTAGCAGTGCGACGATTTCACTAAACAAAACAGGTATTCAAGGTGTTACTCAACAACCTCGATTACATAAAATATTTGTTTAAAAAGATAAGAAACGAAACGAAATGATAAAACAACATCTTGCCACAATTGAAATGTGAGCAAATAGTATTCATTATCATCGGAATCACTGTAATTGGATACACTGATAAAAGGTCAACGTCATAGTACACAAGAAAAAGAAAAAAACCGGATGACTAAACTCTGATTTGAAAATCTGTTAAAGAAATCATTTAGAGATAAGTAGATGTAGTCATGAAAAGTGAAATTTATCGAAGATTAAAGATCTCGAAAAATGGAGAAGAAAAGAATGAATAAGCAAGACGTGTGCAAATAACGAACTTGTATCTTTCCGACCAAGGGAAGAATCATTCGATAGAAGAAGATAACTATACCGTATCATCGAGTTTATTCGAGATAAGATGATAAACCGACTGATTCAAACTTTAGTCTAGAAAGTACTTTCTATTCTGTTACTGTTAGTCGCTCTTGCGACATCGATGTTTTCTTTAGATTAAAGTGATAAGTGTTTATTTTTCGAAAGTTAAAAATCAAGAAAAGATAAAATTGTTTTTCCAACCAAAGAAGAGTTAAGTCAGATGTATTTCGTTTCTTCTTATGTACAAGAACCAGCTCCAACCGAAACGATTTCGTTCGGTTCAACACGAAATTGCCAACATCGTTGTGTTTTCGTTACTTTCGGAAATGGAGCAATGAGACCTAAATCCGCACACCTAATTGCTTCGATAAATCCGGCTGCTGTCCATGTTCCCATATTAACAATCTTTTCATTCACAATTACTTTGTCACCACTTGGAATAGTGATATATTCATCCGGAATTTTCGTATCACTGTATGTTCCCCAACTAATCGTGCATTGGGCCGGTGTATTTCGCGCGTTAGCAACAACCGCAGAGAAAACTATACCGGGTATAGGTGCAGTTAAAACAGCCGAAAGAAGACATGTAAGAAAAAACACTAGAGCTATCATTGCTATGAATGTATGCCGTTGGGACTCGAAATTATGGGTAATAGAAACTGACAGAGGTTTATATAGATCAGTATTCAGATCATATTTCACTATTTTGCATATCAAACAATATGACTATGCACGACGAAATAAGAAATCCATTACAAAATATCATATTTATCAAATATAGACAATGTATTTCAGTTCGAATAGCTTAAAGATTGTCAGATTTCCAACAACATTGACATTGAGAGAAATATACCTATATCAAGAGTATTGATTAAAATTCGACGATTGTTGTCTCTACATGTGAACTTTGAACCGTATTATTCAAACAAAACAATCTTGTTTTCGATAAAAAAAACGCGAAATGTGATTGCTGTATGTCAAATAGATATCTATTTACTAGTTCTATATACCTAATCTTCGATTTGTTACTATCTTTAGCAGTATTACGCATACGAAAATGCATGCTGCTAACACAGATGCAAAGTAGATGCGATCATGTGAGCGTCTCATGACTATACGTATTAGACAAAAATGATTTTATTCAGTAAAATAAAAGAAGACGAGATAAATAAATGAAATGATTTATAAAAAAAAATAGATAAATAGTCAGAGAGAAAGTTTTCACATCCGATTCTTTAGTTTACACTTTCATTTACATGAGAACTAGGTCCAACCGATGCAATTTTGGTTGGTTCCACGCGAAATTCCCAAAATTCTTCTACAGTATTAACATTTGGAAATGGAGCTCGAAGTACTAAATTTCCACAACGAATAGATTTTATGATACCACGTGCTGTCCATGTACCCATGTCGAAATGCTTTTCTTTGACGGTAAAATATTTACTTTGTGGAACCGAAATGCGTTGAGTTTGAAGAGTGTTGTTTAACGGTGTTTGCCAACCAATGCGACATTTGATATTCGCATTTTGTCCGTTGTAGATGATTGCTGAATAGACAGCTGCTGGTGACGGTATTGCGGAGATTGTTAATGCAAGGAATAAGATACAAAAAGAAAAATAGATAATCGCCGACATAATTTCAGATCTAGAACAAAAGAAATGAATGATTTCTAACGGTTATCGTTTTACATGGTGATGATGATGATCATCATCAGTCATGTTGTTTGTAATTTATTTATTTAGTGGAAGAAAGACTAGAAGCAATTATTCTACTCTTCTGATTGTTATGATTTGACAAATTTTTGTAGTTTATCAAGTAAACCAATGTATTGTTGGTGTTCATAGGCGGTGGAGAAATCAGCGAGTTGATTGGCGAATTCTAAAAGTAGATATCAAAAGAGTTCGATGTCAACTGTCCGCTAAATCTTCATTTACCTTCACCAATGCCTTGTTCTTCGAGTAAATTGAGTAGTTTATCATAAAGTTCTCCATCAATAACTGAGCAATCAGAACTATAAACAGTTTCATTCCATTCTCCATCATGAATTGTGAATTCATCGATTTGAAAATCTTCTAAAGCATTTTCTGACGGTTGTTGTTCATTATGCGCCTCGGGGTGCTCATGTGGTAAATACGAACAAAGAAACGATAATGTTTGATTATCACGATTGATATCAACAGTAAATGTTGGTCGCGATTTCAATTGTGATGCGGCGTTGTCCGATTTTTGTTCGGATTCATTGGGATTCAAATCCGATTCCTGATCAGATTCGTCTGCATTCACCGTGTTTGTTACAGAAAACTTCACTGTGATTTTATCTTTACCCGATTGACGCGTTAACGTTACTTCTGGACCATCAGTTTGTACCTACAGAAAACAATTCGAATAACAAATATCATGAGAATACTTGGCAATGTTTACCTGAAAATTCGGGATAGTTGGTAAACTATTGGGATGCTTTTGAGCACTTTTTTCTAATTGAATTTCCTTTTGAAGAAATGTATCAAGATCACGATAAGCATTATCGTTCGTTTTCAACGATGAAAATGCTCGAATTGAAACATAATGCTGATTCACAATCAACGGTCGATATCGATACGAATGTTGAATTGAAGAATACAAACGTTGGTTTATGTTCGTATTTGCAAGTTTACCAAATTGAAATAAGTTTCTTGTTAAATGACGAAAGGCCATTGCGCAATAATTTAGAATACCGAAATAAATTTGAGCTGAGCAATTTATCGGATCGATCTCGAGCAATCAATTTTGTTATTGCAATATGTATGTATGACTATCAGTAGTTCGTTACATCAGAGAGGTCTCAAATAGATGGCGACACTTGTTTCTACATTTCATGTCGCTTGTATACGTTCGTATACAAGTTCACAAGTGGAATAAAGGAATCTGATAGTTCTGTTTCGTGGATGGATATCACCTAAATTATCATTCCGTACTCTGCATGATGGAACAGATAGAATCTACAAACGAAGATAGTCTTAGTGATCGCTACGCATCGAGGAGAAAAGTTGAATAAAGCTTTCATAATACTTTTATTCAAGAACTAACAGAAACTATGATGATTACTAAAAAGAAAATCTAAAAAAACTAAGCAATAAGTAAGTTCAATTAATAGTTATTTTCTTTATGCTTTTCACTGACGTTCCAAGAATTTTCCCATATAATCTTGTAATGTGATTTCATGAAGGAATTTTCTCATACTTTTTTCATCCTTGCAATAGACTTGTTCAGGTCCATTGCATGTATACACCGTAAGTTTAACAGCCTTTGCATATTTCATGGACCTTGACTTTAGTTTATCCGTTGATTTTGAACATTTCGGTTTTAATGTTTTGGTACTATGCTTTATCAAATTGGTTCATAGGACCACAAAAGCCATTTATCGTTGATGTTAATGAATCCGCATGGAAATACGTGTGAATATCATTGATTGGTTTTCGATAAAATCCATAAAAGTTACAGCATTTTGAATTTGAAGAAAACCGTCTATTGGTAAATGACAATTATCTTCAAATGAACATTCGTAAAATATCTTTAGCTGTACACGGGTTTGATTTGTGCTCATTATCGTTTCAGTAATAACGCGATGTTTGTCGATATCCAACTTTTTCAAGGCAAGATAAGAAGAATTATGGTAGAAAATCACCTTCTCATGAGTATAATCAATACGCACGAGAGTATGACAAGCTTTTGCAGCAAATGTCGACTTTGTTGCAGTTTGGTTTTCACAAGCGGACCAGCGACGTTCCCATGCTGATTGATTTTGTAGTTCAGCAAACGTATATTCATAAGAACAAGTAGCACAGAAGAGGTTTTCTGATGATAACTTATTCATGGTCTTGGTCTTGTTTGTAGATAAAGCACTGTACGAAGCGCATAGAACAATGAATAAAACAAGAATTTGATGGAGCATTGTTTTACTTTGGAAAAAGTGGAACTATTTTCGATTAATAAATAGCATCAGATAAGTCATATCTTGCTAATGAAATTATTTTGTATGAAATAAAATACGATATCGTTTTATCCCATCCGATAGGAAGACGTTTTTTGCAAAATATCCCATGGGTTGATGACATGGAATCGAAATCTTCTCTTTCTTATTGTGAAATATCAATTGGCGATGTTTTTCTCAAAACTATTGACAACGATCATATAGTTCTTTGGTCATCATCTCTTGAATCGAAGGCAGCAATAATTGAGCTATTTAGATGATATAGAGCTTACGCCCTCACCTGTTAAGATCTTCATTTACGAAAATATCGAATTTCATTGCGTCCGTGAGATGAGAAATCCCATCTAATCTAGATTATTGATCAACATATTCGTTATTTATCTATCCCATCAAATAAAAACTTCCATTTGTACACAAATGATTGTCATATATAAGTATCATTCGTACAATATAAAAACAGGCCAACATAAAGATCTACTTGAATTCACTTAAGAAAGGTATGCTCAAATGTTACTTTCTTTCTAACAAATTTTGTCCGTGTTCGAAGTAGTAGAAATTTGCAGTTATCCCTCCGATATCGCACTGATTTGACAGCTAGAGTACTGTCATGAACTACACTTTGATTCACTTGTTGAAAATAACGAAAGATTTCTTTATGTAGTAAAGACTTTTGAATAACTATACGAGTAAAAATCGAAAGTCTTGAACTATTTTTGTTGTCTACATGAAATATTAAAATTTGTCCTATCTCCATTAGAAGATATGAAATACATAAAGAAATAAAAGGATTTAAACAACATTTAATCCAACTGAAACTCGAATGCACGCATTGAACAAACTTCTACTATCGTTTTAGGATAGTGAATTATTGAAACATGTATTCTCATTATATTCTTCTTACAATTACATTTCTGGTTCCCTTCACATCTCAAGTCGTTCATGGTGCTTGCAATAATGCTAAATTGTACTGTTTCGATAGTAACAAGCGACTGTTGGGGCAGATTTGTGTTGGTACATGTTTTCGAATGGCAATATTGATGCTGGGCATTAATTTTGGCTGCTGGCCATGCGATTCGCACCAACTGTTCGATCTGTCTGCTTATACAAGAGTGCACTATAGTCAAGCATTTTCAAATACTCACACAGCATCCTTTGGGCAAAGTAACGTTGGTTCTGGTATAAGTAAGAGGCCACTTTTATTATCATGTTGAGTTGGTGACAGATTTGTTGCATTTGGAATGATTCTATCACGATCACGATATACTCCTACGATTGAAACATTTGACTTTCCTAATTGAAATAAATACTTAGTAGGGCTAGGCAGAAAAAGATTTTTCTTTATTGTCTATCAAAGATGCGCTAAGTCAAATAGAATGATTGAATGAGAGCTCTATATTCTTAAGAGTGTGATTTTAATTCTACAAATGAGATTGTTGCATCTCTAATGTGAGTGTTCTCTTTTGTCTATATCTTGCGTACACGCAGACAGTTCACTATGTCAATAATGGTTTTCCGTCCGATTACAAAAAGTCGTACGTATGTATTTTTACATGTGATTATTCAGTTGATTCCTTTTTCCAAGTTGTCAGATGCATATTACCTTAAAATCATCATTATAGTAAAAAAATAGGCCAGTTACTAGGTGTACACGTGAAAACTGATGTATGTGTCTATTGCATCATGCGCATTCGAAATAGATGGCGCTGCCCAAAGAAAAGTTATTGGCTTTGGCGTTGTTTGTTTTCCTCTTGATTCATTTGTTTTCCAACGAGTAGAAACATCAGGTCATTCTTACAAGTGATTTTGTTTCATACAAGTGCAACTCGGTACAAAATATGTATGGGAATTTTTGAAAATTAAATACATATGATAACAATCTCTTTTTTCAGGACTAATATTCATCCATCGGTAAAATGGGGTCAAAAGAAGGATCATATTTTATTAACAATTGCCGTTCAAGATATTGAAAAACCAGAGATCAATATTGAACCAGCGAAACTTCATTTCAAGTAAGAACCGATGCTTGCTTTCAATTCAAATATTTGTCAACATTTATTTCTATTCTAGAGGACAACAAACAAAAGGGTTAATCTATGATGCTACATTGGAATTTTTTGATGAAATCGATCCACAAGTACGTTGAATGTATCTGTGAAGTCAACTTTGCTCTAGTAAAGCGTAACTGTACTTTCGAACAAAGATTCTGAGTAAACCTTAACATTTGTGATACGTAGCACTGATTATCTCTTTTCAGTTAACACGCAAGCTAATTTGATTATTAGATAGAGGGAAATAGTCTTTTTTTTTGTATAATTTAATTTTGAGGGTGCCGAAGCAAATTTCTTCGATGTTTAGATCATACTTTTCCTTGAATCATAGAATAATTTGATACATTTTGACCATTTTTGTGATCATAGGCATCAAAATATCGTAAAGTTAGCCAAAATCACTGGGAATTTATGTTGAAAAAGAAAGATCCATCAAAACCATTTTGGAAACGGTTGATTAAATCAAGCGAAAAGGTAACGATAGTTCGTACCGTTTTGAATTCGATTCCATTTCTTCATTTAGTGCCAATGGATTGCTGTCGACTGGAATCATTTTACAGCTGAAGGTAAACTTCATAATGATACAAAAATAGCTTAGATTTCTGTTGAATCCTAGGTGATGACGACGATGACATGGAAGGCGGCTCGGATGGTAAAAACTGGGGTGATTTAGGTAACTTGAAGAAGTAGAGATAATCGTATTTTCTCAACGAATTCCTTTAGATGGTATGTTCAAACAAATGGGCGGTGGTTTAGGAGGTCCATCGGCAACGGACATGAATGATCTCGAGGATGAAGAAACCGACAGCGATGATGAACCCATGCCCGATCTCGAAGAGGTGCCAAAATCCGACGACGATAAAGCAAAACCAAATGAAAAAACAAACTAAATGATATCTCTTTTTTCTACAACATACACACATCGTGTTACATACTTTTATGAGGACGAAAAACTTGTCAAATACTTGTGTGTTGCTATATCTGCCGTAAAATCGTTGTCATACCTCTTTTTTCATTGTTCATTTTGTATTTGTTTACCGGTCAATGTTTTAATGAGAAAAGAAACTCTGTCTGTGCGTGTGTGTTGTGATTTATCGTTTATGATGATAAAATAAAACAGTTTAAAACATTTAGTTTCATTTGTTTTGCAGCTGAAATCTCCGAAAGAACCAGATTATTTTAACTTTTGGATGTAGGAGCCAACTTTACTGATGCTTTAGAACTGTGCTTCTTTTCAGATCAATCGTTTATCTCTCAGTTGACATGTCCATGGCTATGCTCAAGTATATTTGGTTTTGCAAGCGGCACTATTCATTCATATCAACAATAAAATAGGTGAGTGTCTGCCTGGTTTATGTAAGAGTCGCTGTGGAGTCAAATATGCGTTTAGTTTCGTCTTGTTTAACACAAAAGACAATACTGTTTATTGTCGATCAAAAAAAAACTTTTATTACAATGCGGAAAAATCACCTGCTTTAAGTTTTTGAATTCGATCCAGTAGTTTCAATCGAGGTCCTAGTTGCATTTGGAAAATACTTACTAAATGTTCATCTTCTAAAAGTAAAAGCGCCACCCCATCGATCAAATGTTCTTGAATCACAGACGTGAAGCAGTTTTTTCCAAGAACACGTTCAAAAAATAAACACACATCATCGACCTAAATATATATAGAAAGGGTACAAGGCGGACAAAACAGTCGGAACTCATGCAACTCTGAGTATTCGTCTATGAGAGAGAGAGAAAGAGAAACACTTGTTTTCTTTATCAAGCTGAGGAAGAGAATCATAGGTTGTTGAATCTTACCGTCCATTGATTGACATCTAATGGAAAAGGCGAGCGAGAAATCTTGGATTCGTTGAGAACGATCTTTTGTACTGGATTGTCCAGTTGTTTAGTTTCTTTTTGTCGGAATGGTTTTGAACTCTCTCGAATAATCCAATCATCAATGGAATGCGTTATGACACTGTCATCTGATTTGTGCTCATAGATTTTCTGTTCTTGATGACTTTGCACGATATTAATTGACGCCGTTGACGGCGACTTCGTTGTCTGGCAGTATTCAGTCGGACAGACATTCAGTGGGATCAGGGTAGTAGTGACACGAGGTGTACCTAAAATGTTCCTTTAGTTAGATGATAGATACCTTCTTTTTCGAACATACTGAATGGTTTGTATGAAGAGTAGATAGGTGTATTCTGAAAGAGGAAAGAGAGTTCGTATGAGTTCAAGAAAATTTAACTTCTATCGAAAAGAAATTCCAACCTGTTGCGATTGCTTAATCAAAGACGATGTACCTAATATCAAAGAGGTGTTAAGAATGTATGTGATTTAGTTTTAAAAAAATATATACTTGATGGCAGTGAGAAATCAGCCATAATTGAATTAGGATTCGGACTACCAAACGGTACTGTTGGGTTGAACGGAGTAAATTGCGTACTCGACCATATCGACTGGACAGGAATAATCTTAACGAAAATTACGCTGTAATCGTTATCTCATGAGCCCACATTCAAAACTAGTCGTTCCCTGTCCAAAGTCTTTCTTTCCCACTCCGATGTACGTGGTTTTACTACATTACTTAGGATGAGTCCACTTCAGCACAACCTACTTGATATGAATTGAGAGGGATTGAAATGGGTGTTGAATTTTTAGCCAAACTTTCCAGTCGGTTGTTAAGTCGCCGATTAAACTTGAGTGGCTTCTAGTGTATGAAGTATAACTATAGATACGAAATCTCAACAATTATCTTATGTATCACTACCGCTAATTTGTTCTTCTTCAATGACAGTGGCATAAAAATCAGAGGTGTCGTTGTATCACTGGATATTTTCATCACTTAGCTTTTACGATATTCTTCGTAACGTGCCTGATTGAATGGAGTGATAGACAACTGGTGTGGGTATGAGTAACGAAACGAGTCTTTTTCTCTGCGTCTTCCTCTTCTTCACGATAGAGAAATGTGGCGAGCGAGAGAAGCAGAAAAAAAGCTTTTTTGCGCTTTTTTCTCTTTTCTCGCCTCCTTTTCTTCTCTTATTAATGGTTGTAGAAGAGTGCGTGAAACACATTTTCTTCCTTTCCCTCGATTAGTATCCAATCGAAACGAAAGAAAAGAGCGAGTGAGAGAGAAAGAGAGCAGAGAAGAAGAAGAAAAAACACAACATTTTCCCTATTTTTCTTCTCCTAACATTCATTCAATCAGAAATCAGTCGATGTCCTCCGCTCAGACGCCACTTAATGACCGTATGACATCTATCGAAACCAATCTTTTATTAATAAAATCTGCTCTACATATAAGGTAATACGGATTTCTTTTGCGTTCTGCTATGATTTCTCCTATGCATAGATCAAATGCTAGTCAGATTCTCTTATCTCGTCATTTTCGAGTCTCTGAGTCATGAAATGGAAAACTTTTGTAAGACTTGTGCAATTTATTAATGCGCATATAGATTCATTACAGATAACCTTGAATTTTTTAAGTACTAAAAATAGTTTTCGCATCGACAGTCATGTCAGTTTTCATTCAAACAACCTGTTTAACCATTGATAATATTACGCGTTCTTTCTTCGTGATACTCAATTTTCTTATCTGATTCGATTCTTTTCAAATTACGTTGAATTTCATCATCTACATTTGCATATCTAAAACACGAAAGAAAAATAAATTTAAATTATAAGGTTTACATTGTAGGTGGTTACTATCGTTATCATTATTTGCCTATATAGAATCCAATTCGACTTTCTCTCATATTTTTTTCAAAGGACAAAATTCGAGAGAAAGTAAATAAACATCTTCAGTCTTGTTTTTGTTGTTGCTCTGTTAGTTTTTCATAAAACGACATTTCATCGTTGATTATGAATGCATCCTACTGAATTCAAAAGAATTTTACTCTTTTACGATTTCAATGTCAAGGTCATGCCAAAGATTGATATTGACAGTAAAATAAATGAAAAACATACAGCTTATTACTGTTTGATAATGAGAAATATGAGAGATGTTTTCTTTTAGGCATGATTAAATTGTATATTATACGTATATATATTTTTTTGCTATAATTGGAGAAGCTTTGGTCTCCTTTTTCTACTTTATATCGAACAGAATGTATTTGACTGTGTTGCCTAGATATATCCGTCAATATTATTTGAGATAATGAGCGAAAAACAACATTTATTTTCAAGCAAAAAGAGCCAAATGCGGACGTGGTACGTGACACGTCAGCGCACTGCTCATCGCGAGCACCTTTTTAGTCACTCCTTTTTTGGGAATGAGAGAATAAAGGTAAATTATAATGGAGAAGAATGAAATAGTCTGATAGGAGTATATGTTTCTACCGGGCTCATACGTGCCCTATAGATTTTCTATATTTGGTAAGAAAAATAAAGCAAATAGAGGCTTTTTCTAGTTAAGCGTCATTTTCATTATTTATTGGGGCTCGACATTATGCATCATGATGATAATTTCAGAGGGTAAGAAGAGAAATACGATTCATTTACGTTTGTTTCTATGAAGTTTATGTACATTGACAACATGATCGTCTATTTCGTCGTCATTTCTTTCCTAGTTTTGGCCTTTTTCACTGACTCACAGTGATGTCATTTGTAAGGAAAGAAAAAACAAGGCGAGAGAAAAGAGTGATAGGGGAGACATGCTATATAAAAGGACGATTCGACACTGCAGTTGTTCTCTCTCGTTTTCTTCTACCTACAATCGAGAAGGGAAACCGGCTTCATACTGCAATTCAACGAGCGTTCGATTTCATGAACAAATATTGACGGGATATCAGCACAACGATTTTTTTCCTGCAGTGAAGCCATTCTGACAATAGTTATTCTTCATACAGCATTCAATCTTGTTACTCTGGCGCGTTCCTGGGAAGAAAAGAGGGTTGACATTTTTTTCCCAGTGAAAGAATATTTTAAGAATTCATTTCTATGCTCGATCAAATACTTTGCTTTTCCTCGCCAATCTCGTTTTACTTTCCAGAGAGAAAAACAACCTCATATGAGAAGTGCTCTACTTTTTTTTTCAGCGACATTAAAAAATGCAATTATATCGTTGTTAGGGCACCTTTTTCTTTAGCAAAATACGTCAACAATCTTCTTTTCCTTGTCTTCATTAAACTTTCAAAATTGTTTTTCTTCATTTCACGATGAAGTGTCTCGCGTAGGAGTGATTTTACTCAATCATGCGCAACCTTGCTTCACATTTGTCTATCCAGTTTTTTTTCTGCTCGAAAACAGGTTAAATCTTTGTTTTTCGTACTCAGGTTTGCATTACTTCTATATAAAGAAAAACAACGCGCAATTTTGTTGTTCTTCTCTTCCTTTTCATCCCTGACATTGTTTTCATCGTTTAAAAAATGTCACAAATAATCGCTTTAAATCCACGTAGAAGGGAAAATAATCTTATGCTATTGCTTTATTTTTCTAGATCTCCTGAAAACAGAAGACGAGCGGAATGTTTTTCCAATAGCTGTCATTATCGACTAACAAAATCACATTCATACGAGCCAAAAGAAAGATTGTGGTTGATATAAACATATGCGTATATAAGTTAGCATTCATCAACATAAACTAAACACTTCTATTGCTTCTGCATTATCATTATCAAACAACATCAACATCATCAACTACGTCAGTAAAGTTTTTGTGTGAAGAACAAAGACGTGACAAATAAAAACATCTAAGAAAAAAAAGGAAGAAAAAGAAAAAATATCTGGTGTGTTCTTTACTAGCTTTTATCGACTCGGGTATGTTTCATAGTGGAGAGGAACAGAATCGCATTGTCGAGCATCTTGACGAATTACAGCACTCATCTGGATCAACAACAGCAACAACACTTGATGCAGCCAATTCAACCAACACATTCGAACTTGGTCATATCACCGCATCTGATTTTGACTCGATCGGATTCGACTCCGACTGTGATTTTGGACGGCGAAATTCATGGGCAACATGTCCATCTACCTACAACACTGGTGGTGAACGGCAGTGCTTCTCTACGTTCGCTCCTGAAGACAAGTGGCCTATTTAACGAAGGTGGGTTTTACAACAACAACATAGAACAAGAAACCAAGATTAACGTTTATAATATTCTTTTTCTTCTAGATATGGAATCGTCTGACAAATTGAATGAGTTTTTTGCAAATGGTACTGAATTCACTCTTCATCGGCTCTTAAGTGATATCGGTTGTAACGATACGAATATCGACATGAATGACTTAGTCAAATTCGATCCAATGAAATTGCTTGATGCACGATCCTTCAATGAAATTGTAAGTGAAGCAATATTTTGTCCTCTTTGTTTAATGTTATTGCATTACGATGCTATCAGCCGCTAGAGAAAGAAGAAAAATCCTGTTTTATCTAACTTGATCTTTTTGTTTTTTAGTTTCAATGTGATTCATTCGAAGAAGTTAACACACCAATCGATATTCAATCAGATCTCCCAGACAGTATTCCACCATCTGCAATGACTTGTTCATCAGGCTCATTCTCCGAACTCTGTCCACCACCACTGGATCTTCCAGCTAAACAGGAACTTTCTATTGAGAACAATCAATTAAAAATTGAAGCTGAAAATTCATTGGAATACACAGAATTAAATTCGTTTGATAACTTCGTACTCACACCATCAACATCGGCTCACATGTCTCAAGAATTCAACTTCGATGAAAGCGCATTAGCTGCTATTGAACAAGATTACAGCTACTTAGCAAAACAAACAACAGTTGTTAATACGCCTTCACCATCACCAACAATATCTAAACGTCCAGTAGCATGTGAATCTCGTCGAATATCTTCTCGACTTCAGTCACGTGCAACACTCATCGATTTCAAACAAATCTTAGAAGATGAGTCATGCTCATCGCCCTCGATGTCACCGAACAGTTCTATATCAATAAAACGTACAAAACGGTCACGACATATCAATCGTGCAACAGATATCAAAACCGAAGATGATTTATCCTATTATTTGGAAAGACGTCGAAAAAATAATGAAGCATCGAAGATGTCACGTGCAGCACGTAAGCAAAAGTTCGGTAATATGGACACTCAATGGTAAATACCTGAGAAAGAATGCGATATTCTATACAAAGTTTTGTTTTTCTTGTCTATTTGTAGCGCCGATTACGAACGTGTCAATGCTGAACTTCGTTTGAAAATATCTACACTTGAAGTTGTGACAGCTAATTTGAAAGATGGCCTGATTCATACGTTTCAACGTAAACGGGGTGTTGATGCAAAATTGTAATCATTCTGTGTATGAATGCGTCTGTATTCTTCTCTTTTCCTCTATCGACTTTTCATTTGTATCTGTCAAATATTTCACTATATTTCTCTACAGTTCAGTGAGCATCCTTTCACTTTCTTTCCGAGTGATTGCTTTTCTACATTTATGTGTTTAGTCGAGAGGCAAAAGTTTCATTCTGATAGTAGGCAATATATGTATTAAATTCTTCTCTATCATGCTATCAGTTCGTTCGAAGCCGTGCGTTGATGTTCTATTTGATCTACTAATGAAAAAATTAGAACAAAAGACAAAAAAAACTCAAAAAAGTAGAAAAGTAGACAAAAAAAGAGTTTTTTTTTGTTTCATTTCTGTTTTTCTTGCTTGAAGTTCTTCTTTTCGAAACTCGTTCTACCGAGACAAAAAAAAATGATAATTATTTTTGTGTCTCTGCATTTGTGATATTGTTTCTTCGCTCGTTTGCTATTGTCATTGACTGTCGTAGTTTTATTTTAATCATTATTATTATTTCAATGTGATCAAAAAGTAACTATAATGATAAACACGATACAATATCATTAACGGTGGAAAATATATCAAAACGAAGATTCGCATTCGCGTTTCTTTTTTTTTTCTATAATGTGATGGAATAAATAAAAACAGAATTGAAGTGTGCAAAGCGATTTATAAAGTGACTTGTTATCAATGAATGACAGATTTCGTTCTAGATGGGTTCTGTTGAAAAGGATATTAGTCATGATCATATCTATTTATCCAATATTTCAGTAGAAAAAGATTGCCATCAAGCACGAAATTCTTCCGATACTCGTCGACGCGCCATTCGAAAGAAATGTGATATTCAAACCGAAGAAGATCGGCAAATGTATTTTCGACGACGGACACTCAACAATGCTTCTTGTCGAATCTCGCGTATTCACCGTCGAACGAAACTGGATTTGATATACAAGAAATGTGCTGAATACGAAGATTTGAATACAAAATTAATCCGACAAGAGGGCATTCTGTTCGAAGTTATCAACCAATTGAAAGAACATTTGCGAAGTTTAGTTTCCAACGATATTCCAGCGAATGAATAGAATTTATACATATCAGATGTACATATGAAAACGTGTTTTATTTGATTTAATCAGAAGAACAAAAGGAATACATAATCAAGTCGGACAATCGGTCAATGAGTCTCATGAGAGAATCGCATGTTGATAGTCTGACTCTAGGTCTGCTTTTTTCCTCTTTGTGTTGTATATGTTTTGGTTTTATTCGATATATAAAAATGATAGATTTATTATTTAGCTCAAAGCTATTGCTTTTCCTTTTGCTAAATGACTGTGATAGATAGAAATGATCGAGTCAAGCAAATGAGACGTTTTGTATACACATATGCAAATTTTCAATTTCCTCTCTTGCTCATTCTCCTTTGAAATGGACACTTTCGTTCATGGTCTAGGTCGTACGACTGGTCTGTGCTGTTTATGATCGCTTTTCCTCTCTCGCTCTCTCATCTATGTATATACAAAACGAGTATGTATATGTATGTGTCTGTGTGAACGCAAACGCATTACTCATGCGATGTTTCATACTGATACGAACAATGGGAGAAGAAAAATGAGAGAAAGAAAAAAAGAGAGTGAGGGAGTCAAGTAAAGAATAAGGCCACTCTATACTTCGTTGAGACGTTGTGCATTTATGTGCATCTATGATTTGATGAAACATCTGATCTTCTAACTCATTGATTTATTCTGCTCAATATGGATATGCTTATTATTGACCAAACACATGCGAATCATTCTCAAAGCTCGTCTGTCTATCTTCAAGATTTTCGTTCCGAGCCTTGTCAAGTATGTGGGGAGAATGCTAGTGGTTGGCATTGTGGGTCGATTACTTGGTCAGTGGGAACTTTTCCTTTGTTGAATTATGAATTCAATCTGCATTTTTTAGTGAAGCTTGCAAAAAATTTTTCCTTCGATCAGTTAACGATGAATATCGTAAATACAAATGTATGAAAGATAAAAATTGTCTGATTACGCGAACTACGCGAACGCAATGTCAGTATTGTCGGTATGCCAAATGCATTCAAGTGGGAATGAAACTCTCAGGTAAAGAATTTTGCATTCATCAAACAACCGATCACATAGTAGTTGTAGAAGGAAGTCCAAATCTAAAGATCGAAGATATTTTCAAACAAATCCCATGTGCTGTGTGTCATCACGCTTCGTCTGGTATTCATTTTGGTGCTACAACATGCGAAGTAAAGATTCGTTGAGTCTTTTTTTCAATAAAATTTCTCTACTGAACTGCTTTCAGGGGTGTAAAGGTTTTTTTCGTCGGACGATGAGAGAACGTATTCCACCACGTTACAAATGTGCAGAAAATAATACGTGTGTTATTGGTTATTTGACACGAAATTCTTGTCGAGCGTGTCGTTTTGAAAAATGTCTTCGAGCTGGAATGTCTATGGAAGGATCACGCATTGGACGGCAATCGAATTTATTTAAACATAAGATGGTTGAATTACAACGGCAAGGGTTAATTCGTTCACAATTACAACAAGTGATTGCACTGAATTCTGTTAATTGTCAATTGAGTTCATCGAATCGTACTCAACCGGGTAATTCTAAACGAAAACCGACGATTAATTCTGGAAATGACAATGAAGGTAATCATTCACGCTTTTCTAATTTACATTTATCAAACCTATGTTCTCACCTAGATCTTTCATCATATGTCGAATCAGCAATGGTGTTACATTTCGAAGATAAATTGGAAACTCATCTGCTTCAGCAAATATCAAATCTTGAAAATGCTTATACAACTTATCTCAAAGTAAATAAGATTCTGTTCAGTGTCATTTAAACTGAATTTGCCTTTAGGAGTTACCATTCTGTTCGAATGATACCATTGATCTTTGGCATACATGCTTATCACAAATAAATGAATATACAAAACGAGTTGGAGATTTTGCATTGACTATTCCTGAGTTTTCGAGTTTGAATTCGGATGATCGAACTTTATTGATCCATTCATCGACACATTCAGTCATCATTCTATGTCTTTGCTTACAATCACCACGATTTCGTACATTAACGAATGATCTGAACTGGAATTACTTGAATATTTCCGTCAATTCTCCATGTGGTCAATATCTTCAACAAATGTTCCCGTTTCTCTTCGATTTAGAGCAATTCACATATTCATTTGAGAAAGAACTTCAATTATTAGAGCTCGACGATAGAGAAAACGCATTATTCCTTGCTCTACTTCTTGTTTCAGTTGGTAAGTACAAGGATTTATCAGCAAAACTTATTCTTTTCGATTTCTTTAGCAAATAGTAAATTCATCGAGATTGATAAACTCGAAAAAATTCAAGAGAATATCTTTTGTACCTTATATGATTACATGTCTGGTAAGATTTCTTCTGTAGACCATTCCACTCATGAAGATTGACTTCATTCTAGCTAAACGTGGTGTTAATAGTAATGATTACTTTATTTTAACAGTTCAAATTCCATTTATTCATCGAATCAATAGTATTATCTCGGCAAATCTTGTCAATTCAAAATATTACTCAACTTCGATATAAAGAATATGTCTTATTCGACTAGATATCATCATGTTGTGTACGTGTGTGTGTGTGTTATTTCAAATAGTATCTTATATACACTGAATGTTAAACATTTCTCTCTCTATCTCTGTTGTTATATGTTACTCTCGAATATTTTTTCTTTCAGTTTATTCATTGTAAATTTATGCTATAGTAAAACGTTTCACTAGTAAGCACAAAATTGAATTTCAGCCAAAATAAATCAAATAGAAAAGAAAAACTTCAATCGCTTGTGATTGAAACGACTGTTCTACTTCCAGGACACTGATTTCTTTATTAGTTATAAATGGATGTTTTTAATGGACTATATAATTAAACAACAGTTTTCGCTCAGTGATATAGAAATCGATGTTTTGAAGAGTTCAGTTAATAGAATGATCAATTAAGAAAGTCTACAGCAGTTAGTGAATGTTTCTGGACAGAAATAGTTTGTTCAACGAATTGAGAAATGTGAACCAAAGGAGAACCAACAGTCTCAACCACCAAGTTTATCAAATCCGCTTACATTGACAGTGTTAATTCTATGGAATTACATAGTAGATATAATATGTCAGATGGTGTCGAAAACACGAGTTGTTAACTAAAAAGATGTTTTTGTTTATCCATTTTCTTTTCGCTTTGGCTCCTTTTTTTTCTGCTGACTACGTAGTGTTATACAGTTTGATATTTCGTATTTGTACAAATCAACAATGCTTATTCGAATATTGATAAGATCGATCTTTGTATTATGGTAGAATATTATTACGCAGTTGGAGAATTTCTCGAATCTTTGCTACTTAAAACTATGGTATAATATGTTAAAATAGACATGTAAATTTATGGAAAAGTTCTCAATTATAGAGGATAAGTTAATAGAGAAATCTACCGGGCCATTTTGTTAAAGAAACAATAGAATCAAAAACAAACTTACAATACTGTTCCACATTCATAGGACGAATATGTCTCCTATGAATAACGAATGTTTTCGTTCAGATGGATCAGTCTTAATGCATATATCGATAGACAGTAGTTCGAGATAATTTTAAATTTCTATTGTAAAATTTCGACACAAGACAAAGTTGCAAGCGATAGTGTGTAATTATAATTCGTCCTACTAATTATCAATGAAAGGTGCCCGATGAGAATACTTTCCGACATGTAGGAGTTGATAATATATTTCAAAATAGATTTTCAAAGGCAAGAAATGTCGATCTTCGTTATTAATAAAACAAATCCACATTTAATCCAGTACTGTCACTATGTCTCCATGACATGTACTTTTATCGATAAGAAAAACGATGAAATTCAAATGAAGCAATCAAAAATCAATCATTATGAAATATCTCTATCTGCTGGCTTATATAACAGAATAAACAAAACTCCCATTCTGCCTTGAAGCAATCGTTTCCAACATGACAATAATCACTACGACGAAACGATCATTCAAATCGATAAGAATCTAATCATGGTGGTATCAAAATTACAAGGTAGTTCATGTTATATACAATGACATAATCATTTCATCTTAGCTGTAGTCGACAGGATTGAACTCATACAGTTAATTAACTATCTATACGTGTGATTAATAGTAATAGTGATGATCGGCAGTTGAAAACGGAAGTTGCCGTTTTTTTAGATTGCTCGATGACGAGCGACGGTTACAATTGTCCATCGAGTTCCGCATGCGTGTGGAAAAAAAGAGAGAAAGAAAACGAATCAGTCAAACTTCCATCGTCGAGTGAAAAAACCGGGAGTAATTTCTAAAATGCACATGTATAGAAAAACCTAATTGCCCGAAAGTTGTCGCGCGCGCGCGTGCCGACTGTCATTAACTTTTCTTCTCAATTTTACTCACATCCCGGTATCTTTCCATCCATTACAGCAATCAGAACAATTTTCTTTCGCTCTCATTTCCACTCGAATGTCGATCGATGATTGTATGAGATGAACGCGAAAGGAAGCTCATCATGTCAGCTGCCTTGACAAATGAATGCCGGAAGACAACGATCATCATCTCGATGGCAGACTCTAGTAATCAATTCGAAAGAAGAAGCACAAAAATAGAATATCGACTGATTAACTCGATCTAATGCATAGGCGTGAAAATGATTTTTTTTTACATGTACCGATTCATTATCACCTTTTCACACAAGGATAAGAGAAACAGCAGAAAGGTTCATGTTGAGTTTGTGTTCTTCGAATAATTTTTCCTAATCAAGTGTGAATGAACAACATCTCGAGGTAGCTCTTTTTCAAATTGAAACAAGAAAGGAAAGAGTGTCAAAAGATTGCAACGTCGTGTTGATCTTGATCTACAAAAATGAACTAAAACGAGATCAATCAAAACATTCACAGATGACGTCGAAAAAGCCACGATAGTCAAATATCCGGTTGAAAAAAGACGATGATGACAACAACAACATAGGATTCCAACATCGATAATTCCCTCTTCATCATGCCTGTAATTAGCTAGTCCGCTCGCTCTTACAAGTCATTTGTGTGTTACGTGAACAATCTCTCGTATGTACATATGCGCACCATGTCACTCCTATTAATCGAATTAATCTACCTTTTTTTCTCTTCTTTCTATCGGCATGTAATACAGAAGAAGTCTGTGATGATGAGTGAAGTATGGTGGAAGGTACTCCCACTTGACGACTAATCTCGACATTCTTCATCAATAGCATTCAATCAAAAGAAAAGAACACGCACACCTTTATGCATCCATTAGAGACAACGCGTGACAAACGTCCATTATCAAACAAATATTAGCTCATGTTTTAGTTCTGGTTTTCTTCTTTATTGAGAAAGTCAGTTTTCTGTACGAAAAAAAAAACAAAATAGAAAATTACATCAATGATGATGTCAGTTGCGGCGTTGTCGGCAATGTGAAGATATCGCGACATAATAATGATTGATCTATCGGTTGGTTCGACGAGCAAAGTCGAAATGATTTTGCCAGAAGGCTTGAAGATGAGTTTGATATCGCGACATACGTCAAATATCTTCAAAAGGAGAAAATAAGTCTATGCGCGTTTACATCTATTGTAAATTAAAACAAGCTCGAACGGCTGCTGCCTACCGATTGATAAGCATCGTTGGAGACTAAGCTTCTTTCACACTTCACCCTGGGTGGGGAGTTCAATGTGTATGCATATTTTAATCTCACGAAAAAGAGATCGATAAGATTTGTTCCTTTGATCGAAAAAACGAACGAGAGAGAGAGAGAACGAAAACATGGATTATGCCAGGTAAAACGAAAAACATAGCTACCTCGATTTCTCGATTCATTAACAGCAATGATGATAGATTTGTCAATGTCCTCAATGAGCTATATGAGGACATGGATCGATTAGCAACAATATCAGCTTGAATATGCATATGTAGACATGGATGGTGAATGAATCGACCAGCGCATCATGCACATGACACACCGTATGATGAATGTTGCTTTAATGACAAGTAACGACGACATTGAATCGTCATCATCAACAACAACAACGAAAAAAA